AAGACGGGAAGGCAGTCAGGTTTCATCCCAAGTAGGGGAGATCAAGAGCCCCTCACGGACGTCGAGGCCCGTCAGGAGCTCTTGAAAAAATATATTGCAATCTACCATAAAAAATAAACAAAGATTTCACTCCGTAGTGTTAAAATTTACTTGTATTTACCTCAGGTGATTCCCGTGACAGTACACAAGAAGCTCTTTGATGACTACTATAATGGTTGTTGTAACGCTACCTTCTGGCCGCTCTTCCACTCTATGCCTGATCGTGCACTCTTCCAGGCTGACAAGTGGGAGGTGAGTGCACTCAACTAATGTCAGTCTAGCAGTGTCAGTCAAAAGGGTAGTTCATATTAAAAAAATATAATTACCATATTATTATTATTATTATTATTATTAGTTCAAGTGCTAGATATTGTTATTTAGCACTGCTCGAAAACGTAAGTTAGATCTGCATTGGTATTTAATGATAAATATGTAATTGCCCAAACATGGTTAGGGTGTGTAAGAATTGTGAAGTAAGCTGATTCATATGATGTTTCAGGCATACAGAGAGGTGAATGCAGAGTTTGCCCGGCTTACAGTTATGGCAGTGCAAAGACTGTCCGAGACTCACCCTGGATCTGTGCCTCTGGTTTGGCTCCACGACTACCATATGATGCTGGCAGCAAACACTATTCGTGAGAAATGTGATGAACTGAACTTACCCATCAAGATGGCATTTTTCCTTCATATTCCCTTCCCATCATGGGACATTGTGCGTCTCTTTCCCTGGGATGATGAACTACTTCAAGGCATCTTAGGATGCGACTCCATTGGCTTTCACATTGAAGATTATTGCCTTAACTTCATCGACTGCTGTCAGAGACGTCTTGGTTGTCGTGTTGACAGACAACAAATGTTAGTTGAACACAACTCCCGGACAGTAACCATCAATCCTCTACCTATTAGCATTCCTTATGACCGTTTTGTGGAATTGGCAGAGAAGGCACCACAGGTGGTGAAGAACAACCCTCATGAGCAGCTGCTGTTAGGAGTGGACCGTCTGGACTATACAAAGGGACTCGTTCATCGTATTAAAGCTTTCGAAACTCTTCTCAACAAACACCCAGAGTTGATTGAGCGTGTGACTTTCCTTCAGGTAGCAGTCCCATCACGCACAGATGTGAAAGAGTACCAAGAGCTGAAAGAAGAGCTTGATCAGATGATTGGCAGAATCAATGGCCAGTTCTCAACACCTAATTGGTCTCCGATACGCTATATCTATGGCTGTGTCTCACAAGATCAGCTAGCAGCCTTTTATCGTGACTCTTCTGTTGCAGTGGTGACGCCACTGAGAGATGGAATGAATCTTGTTGCTAAGGAATTTGTTGCATGTCAGACAGGTGAACCTGGGGTCCTCATTCTCTCTCCATTTGCTGGTGCTGGATCCTCAATGCATGAAGCTCTTCATGTTAATCCTTATGAGACTAATGAATTTGCCGACACAATTTATCGTGCCCTCACCATGCCCAAGGATGAACGTGAGTTGCGCATGAAACACTTGCGTCGCCGTGAGCGAGAATTTGATGTGAATTTCTGGCTCAGGTCATTTCTGAAAACAGTAGATTGTCTCAGCGATGAAGAAAAATCTGCAGCACTTGGTCGCTTACTCCCAATGAGAGAAGAAGATTTTACAGAATTTTTGGGTTCATATGTGACAGAATCATCACGTCTAGCATTGTTGATGGACTACGATGGTACTTTGGCACCCATTGCACCCCATCCTGACCTGGCTGAAATGCCAGCAGAAACACGGCGTGTCTTGGAACGCTTGGCACACATGCCTGATGTGAACATAGCCATCATATCGGGTCGCTCCATGGCTAATGTGCGGTCAATGGTTGGTATTGAAGGCATAACATATGCTGGTAATCATGGATTTGAAATCCTACACCCAGATGGCACCTTATTCATGCACCCTGTTCCTCATGAGTATGAAGTTCAACTTGAAGCCCTAAAGAAGCGTTTGGAGGAAATATGTGTAGAGGGTTCATGGGTCGAGAATAAGGGAACAGGCATTGCTTTTCACTACCGTGAGGTTCCAGGAGAAAAAGTGACAAGTCTCACAGCCGAGGCTCAGAAGGTATTTAAAGAGGTAGGCATACCCATACATGAGTCCCAGTGTGCCTTTGAAGCGCGGCCTCCAGTAACCTGGGACAAGGGTAGTGCTGCTATATACATTCTCCGTACTCTGTTTGGCCTTGACTGGTGTGATCGTGTGTCAACCATCTTCGCTGGTGATGACAAAACTGACGAAGATGCCATGAGATCGCTACAAGGAATGGCTGTCACCTTCCGAGTGACCAGATCTCAGAACCTAAGAACAGCAGCCATGCATCGACTTCCTTCAACAGATGCTGTTCTTTCTATGCTCAAGTGGATTGAGAGAAGATTAGGGTCTCGGTTGCCTCATGTCAATGGTGTGAGATCAAGAACAGCTAGTATGTCCAGTAATGGAAACAGGTCCCCACCCCACTCTCCCACTACACCCCACTGTCGTTCTCGCACTAACTCCAGATCTGAGCCCAGTAAGCAGATGATGCTGATTAATGATAAACTCTATCACCAGTACATTGCCAAACTAGCATCTCCTGCCAGAAGTGCAAGTAGATCTCCACCTCAATCTCCAACAAGGTCCACCATGTAAATTGTATCACTTATCTGTGCCTTCTATGTTAATCTGAGAACTTTATTTCACCCACCCTTGGCAGGTACCAGGGAAGGCAGTAGTTCCGGGCATACCCAGGTCTCGCTTCATGCAAGATAGGAACATATCTCTCATCCCCGCACCACTGTGGTGATTATCATCATAATTAAGCACTAAACCCACAAGGGTCATACAGACCACTGTGGTGAGCCTCGCAATTCTGGGTCTTTGTACAAATGTCTGCCCGTGGGCATCCTTTTTTTATACAAGGATTAACTCTAAGGCTTTCATATTTTAAGTAAACATTTTCAAATGTACAGTTTTTAAATAAACTACATATATACAGTATTTATGATTTTTTCAGGAAATGACATTTTAATTTTTTTTAAGTTGCATAAAGCTTTTACACTGTAGGTAATGGCCATGGGCAACATTATAGCCTACTCATATTTCATGCCTATTTTTCAGGTGTTATTTGTAAGTATATTATATCATTTGTAATATAGAACTTGCCTACTCACATTTCATGCCTATTTTTTAAGTGTTATTTGTAATATATTTTATAGAATGTCATTTGTAATATAGAAAGTGTATAGAATGACTGATGAGTGTGTTAATGTCTCGAACCCCTATATAATTATGTACATTTCCTGTGATAACCCAGTGTTGTGTTCTCGTGTGAACTTGATACCAACATGTGTGATTGTATAGCTTTAAACAGACCTTTATAAATTGTTTAATAAAGTCAGTCCAAAACTTTTAGCCTTTCTTTTCCCCTAGTGCATATTATTATTACAACCAACACTAAGTGCTAAACCCACAAGGGTCATACAGCACTGCAGGGCAGGTTGTGCTAAAGATGTAATACATGAAGATTAGATACCAGCGAGGGTTAGGAGTATGCTAGAGGCATCCCTATTGCATAGTTTCCTAAGCATTCCATTTTGTAATAAATTGTGGAATATATTTCTACAGAATGGTGAAAAGAATTATAAAAGTTAAACATAAAAAGACCAGAGATTGGTATGTTGAAAGATATTCAGCATATGTAATATTTTTTGATCTGTTATGCAGTAACCTCGAATGTAACCATACCAATAAGAAAATTGCAATATATCAGACCAAACTTACGTATTACTGAAAAATGCTTTGGTGATACTGGCACACTTATTATCTCAATTTCCTTATTATAACATTTATGAGGGAGTGCTAAGCCCTTATGGGTCATACGGAGCCTGGAGAATTGGAGGCACTCAGGCTCAACTGAAAGGTGGGGCAGGTCCAGTTCCTTGGATCAAGAGCCCTTCACTGACATCAAGGAATCTCTTGAAACACATCTGATTACCTCCCATTCCCTAGTTGCTATGTAACTCTTCCAGGTTATGCTGCCCCACAAATATACATTCAATAATAATACACCTATTGTATTACCACTCATATCTAGTATGTGTATATTTTTAAAGACAGATCTTAAGTGTAATCTTACACATGCCTTTAAACTGTTTAGAAATCTGCAAAACAATTCACACTTTTATTTTACAGTGAAAGTACAAAATAAATTATAATTATGAAAAAAAATTTAGCCAGTAAGAGTAATAAGGTAAAAGGAAAATAAGAAAAAATGGTCTTGAGCGAACAACATCGGCCAAAAAAAAAAAATGTTGGTCACAGTTAATGAAAAAACCAGTGTCATTTAGGAAGTCAAATTGTCTGCAGCAACAGTTTAGCTGTTGGAGTGGACAAAACAAGCACGTCAGGGTGTTGGAGGCTTAGAAAATACTGTATTAGATGGCACTTAAAAGGATAATAAAATCATGAAATATAAATATGTAAATAAATGTATTTATTTAACATATGTTTAATTCAAATCTAGAATATTTTCAATACAAGATTAAAATAGTTCAGTCCTTTACTTGACTTTTTTTTATTCCTCCTTGTATGGAAGATTCACAACTAATCCACAATTTAAAGATGAAACCTTTGACAACATTTTTGTCTTATGTGAACCAATATCATAGTTCAGCCGCTCTCACTAGTGGAAGTAGTCGAAGTTGATTGCAGGTCTGTACCAAGATACCCTTGTGTTGCAGTGTCTGACAGATTGAACATTAAAATGGTATAAAATACTGACAGGTTGTTAGGTAAGACACATATGCAACAGTTAGGTATCTTTATTACCTAACTGTTGCATATGTGTCTTACCTAACAACCTGTCGGTATTTTATACCATTTTAATGTTCAATCTGTCAGACACTGCAACACAAGGGTATCTTGGTACAGACCTGCAATCAACTTCGACTACTTCCACTAGTGAGAGGGGTTGGATTTGAGAGGGACCTGACCTCTCAACAATATCATAGTTCATACAATTTAAAAGTTTATATATAATAAAATAATATAATAACCAGTTATAATCAACGCTAGCCTGTAACATATACAGTAACTGTGACCAATTTTGAGAGTTCTACTCTCAAAGCCAGACCAGAAGCCAGGCTGCTACTGCCATTGGCCTGTAGGCCTACAGCCATCACAACCATATGCTTCTATGAGAAAAAGCACTGCAAAACTCAGCCCTAGTATAATTGCAAAACATTGAACAGTTTATGCAGAATGCAGAAAAAAAAGGTTACATGCACAATTATAAGGAGTATATCATACATCGAACTTTAATTTCACATTATTGTGATTTTTAACAAAGAGGATTTGAATGGGCCTCTACAGCAGCATAATCTTTTGGAAAGTGCAGTACCATCCACTTTAAGTGAATCTAATTCAAAAACACTTGCAGTCCTAGCATTGTGATAAACCAACTCTTCCCTCAAGCCCCTATCGATGGATCTCTCAATCCCAACTCGAGTGCAAAATAGAGAAAAAATAATAAATCCCTATATACCTCTCAATACAAATCAAAATTTATCACTATAGTATAGGAGGATCCCAACTTACAAAAACATTCACATTGCAAATGGTGCATTTTAAAGGTTTACAATTATCGAGTTGTAGCACAAATATGTGTGAAACATAACGATCCTCCGCATTATTGTTTTCTATATAAGCAACTCGTCTGCAAATTGAAAAACGTGGAATGCAACTCCTTTGTAATTTGAAGACCTGAATCATAAACGTATCAACCCAAGGAAAAAATATTAATGGCCTCAAGCTGCCAACCAGAGCCAGGATTATGCTGCAAAAATAATTGTTATAAGGCACTCGTGCTGTTATTGGGGGTCCTATAATAAGGGATTTGGGGATAATAGCAATTCTAGGCTTCGAGCCTATGGGGTTGGTAAACTAAGGTCTGTATAATTCCTTGATCCTCACATGACATACACGTGAAGATGATGCTTAAACTGGGTTTTGGGGTCGCATAACAAACAGCTTGTTGGCCTTGACCCCGAGCCTCACGTTGTGCTTGCTCTGTACATGTACCATGAACCTTAGATCTCGTGATTTTCTGCAAAGAAAGAAAACTAGTCTGAGAGCCCGGTAAAATGAACAGCATACAATATTAAAATGCAATTACAGTAGGCTAAAAAAATAAAATAAGCAACTCCCCAGGGAGGCACTACCATCCTGCCAAGTGAGTGTAAAACAAAAGCCTGTAATTGTTTTACATGATGGTAGGAGTGCTGGTGTCTTTTGACTGTCTCATAAACATGCAAGATTTCAGGTGTGTCTTGCTACTTCTACTTACACTTTTGTCACACTACACATACATGTACAAGCATATATATATATACACACCCCTCTGGGTTTTCTCCTATTTTCTTTCTAGTTCTTGTTTGTTTCCTCTTATCTCCATGGGGAAGTGGAATAGAATTCTTCCTCTGTAAGCCATGCGTGTTGTAAGAGGTGACTAAAATGCCGGAAGCAAGGGGCTAGTAACCCCTTCTCCTGTATAAATTATTAAATTTAAAAAGAAAAACTTTTGTTTTTCTTTTTGGGCCATCCTGCCTCGGTGGGATACGGCTGGTTTGTTGAAAAAAAAAAAAAAAACCTATACCTATGGCCTCATAAAGAACTTATGAAAGCTAGACAAGAGAGTATGGCATATTACGTACATTAAATCCTGTTTGGTGGTGAAGACTTTATATGGACCAATGGAAAATCATAACTTTAGAAAGTTTTCAAAAGCAAATAAGTAGCAATTATTCTGTCAATGTAAAAGCTAACAGAATGTGTTTTTGCAATTATATAAGCAAATTTTGGAAACTACAAATTCTAATTGTTTTGCATGATGGTAGGATTGCTGGTTTCTTTTTCTGTCTCATAAACACGCTAAGATAACAGGGATATCTTGCTACTCCTACTTACACTTTGGTCACACTTCACAGACACGCACATGCATATATATATATACATACATCTAGGTTTTTCTCCTTTTTCTAAATAGCTCTTGTTCTTTTTTATTTCTTCTATTGTCCATGGGGAAGTGGAAAAGAATCTTTCCTCCGTAAGCCATGCGTGTCGTATGAGGCGACTAAAATGCCGGGAGCAATGGGCTAGTAACCCCTTCTCCTGTATACAATTACTAAAAAAGAGAAGAAGAAAAACTTTATAAAACTGGGTTGCTTAAATGTGCGTGGATGTAGTGCGGATGACAAGAAACAGATGATTGCTGATGTTATGAATGAAAAGAAGTTGGATGTCCTGGCCCTAAGCGAAACAAAGCTGAAGGGGGTAGGAGAGTTTCAGTGGGGGGAAATAAATGGGATTAAATCTGGAGTATCTGAGAGAGTTAGAGCAAAGGAAGGGGTAGCAGTAATGTTAAATGATCAGTTATGGAAGGAGAAAAGAGAATATGAATGTGTAAATTCAAGAATTATGTGGATTAAAGTAAAGGTTGGATGCGAGAAGTGGGTCATAATAAGCGTGTATGCACCTGGAGAAGAGAGGAATGCAGAGGAGAGAGAGAGATTTTGGGAGATGTTAAGTGAATGTATAGGAGCCTTTGAACCAAGTGAGAGAGTAATTGTGGTAGGGGACTTGAATGCTAAAGTAGGAGAAACTTTTAGAGAGGGTGTGGTAGGTAAGTTTGGGGTGCCAGGTGTAAATGATAATGGGAGCCCTTTGATTGAACTTTGTATAGAAAGGGGTTTAGTTATAGGTAATACATATTTTAAGAAAAAGAGGATAAATAAGTATACACGATATGATGTAGGGCGAAATGACAGTAGTTTGTTGGATTATGTATTGGTAGATAAAAGACTGTTGAGTAGACTTCAGGATGTACATGTTTATAGAGGGGCCACAGATATATCAGATCACTTTCTAGTTGTAGCTACACTGAGAGTAAAAGGTAGATGGGATACAAGGAGAATAGAAGCATTAGGGAAGAGAGAGGTGAAGGTTTATAAACTAAAAGAGGAGGCAGTTAGGGTAAGATATAAACAGCTATTGGAGGATAGATGGGCTAATGAGAGCATAGGCAATGGGGTCGAAGAGGTATGGGGTAGGTTTAAAAATGTAGTGTTAGAGTGTTCAGCAGAAGTTTGTGGTTACAGGAAAGTGGGTGCAGGAGGGAAGAGGAGCGATTGGTGGAATGATGATGTAAAGAGAGTAGTAAGGGAGAAAAAGTTAGCATATGAGAAGTTTTTACAAAGTAGAAGTGATGCAAGGAGGGAAGAGTATATGGAGAAAAAGAGAGAGTTTAAGAGAGTGGTGAAGCAATGTAAAAAGAGAGCAAATGAGAGAGTGGGTGAGATGTTATCAACAAATTTTGTTGAAAATAAGAAAAAGTTTTGGAGTGAGATTAACAAGTTAAGAAAGCCTAGAGAACAAATGGATTTGTCAGTTAAAAATAGGAGAGGAGAGTTATTAAATGGAGAGTTAGAGGTATTGGGAAGATGGAAGGAATATTTTGAGGAATTGTTAAATGTTGATGAAGATAGGGAAGCTGTGATTTCGTGTATAGGGCAAGGAGGAATAACATCTTGTAGGAGTGAGGAAGAGCCAGTTGTGAGTGTGGGGGAAGTTCGTGAGGCAGTAGGTAAAATGAAAGGGGGTAAGGCAGCCGGGGTTGATGGGATAAAGATAGAAATGTTAAAAGCAGGTGGGGATATAGTTTTGGAGTGGTTGGTGCAATTGTTTAATAAATGTATGGAAGAGGGTAAGGTACCTAGGGATTGGCAGAGAGCATGCATAGTTCCTTTGTATAAAGGCAAAGGGGAAAAAAGAGAGTGCAAAAATTATAGGGGGATAAGTCTGTTGAGTGTACCTGGTAAAGTGTATGGTAGAGTTATAATTGAAAGAATTAAGAGTAAGACGGAGAATAGGATAGCAGATGAACAAGGAGGCTTTAGGAAAGGTAGGGGGTGTGTGGACCAGGTGTTTACAGTGAAACATATAAGTGAACAGTATTTAGATAAGGCTAAAGAGGTCTTTGTGGCATTTATGGATTTGGAAAAGGCGTATGACAGGGTGGATAAGGGGGCAATGTGGCAGATGTTGCAAGTGTATGGTGTAGGAGGTAGGTTACTGAAAGCAGTGAAGAGTTTTTACGAGGATAGTGAGGCTCAAGTTAGAGTATGTAGGAAAGAGGGAAATTTTTTCCCAGTAAAAGTAGGCCTTAGACAAGGATGTGTGATGTCACCGTGGTTGTTTAATATATTTATAGATGGGGTTGTAAGAGAAGTAAATGCGAGGGTCTTGGCAAGAGGCGTGGAGTTAAAAGATAAAGAATCACACACAAAGTGGGAGTTGTCACAGCTGCTCTTTGCTGATGACACTGTGCTCTTGGGAGATTCTGAAGAGAAGTTGCAGAGATTGGTGGATGAATTTGGTAGGGTGTGCAAAAGAAGAAAATTAAAGGTGAATACAGGAAAGAGTAAGGTTATGAGGATAACAAAAAGATTAGGTGATGAAAGATTGAATATCAGATTGGAGGGAGAGAGTATGGAGGAGGTGAACGTATTCAGATATTTGGGAGTGGACGTGTCAGCGGATGGGTCTATGAAAGATGAGGTGAATCATAGAATTGATGAGGGAAAAAAGAGTGAGTGGTGCACTTAGGAGTCTGTGGAGACAAAGAACTTTGTCCTTGGAGGCAAAGAGGGGAATGTATGAGAGTATAGTTTTACCAACGCTCTTATATGGGTGTGAAGCGTGGGTGATGAATGTTGCAGCGAGGAGAAGGCTGGAGGCAGTGGAGATGTCATGTCTGAGGGCAATGTGTGGTGTGAATATAATGCAGAGAATTCGTAGTTTGGAAGTTAGGAGGAGGTGCGGGATTACCAAAACTGTTGTCCAGAGGGCTGAGGAAGGGTTGTTGAGGTGGTTCGGACATGTAGAGAGAATGGAGCGAAACAGAATGACTTCAAGAGTGTATCAGTCTGTAGTGGAAGGAAGGCGGGGTAGGGGTCGGCCTAGGAAGGGTTGGAGGGAGGGGGTAAAGGAGGTTTTGTGTGCGAGGGGCTTGGACTTCCAGCAGGCATGCGTGAGCGTGTTTGATAGGAGTGAATGGAGACAAATGGTTTTTAATACTTGACGTGCTGTTGGAGTGTGAGCAAAGTAACATTTATGAAGGGATTCAGGGAAACCGGCAGGCCGGACTTGAGTCCTGGAGATGGGAAGTACAGTGCCTGCACTCTGAAGGAGGGGTGTTAATGTTGCAGTTTAAAAACTGTAGTGTAAAGCACCCTTCTGGCAAGACAGTGATGGAGTGAATGATGGTGAAAGTTTTTCTTTTTCGGGCCACCCTGCCTTGGTGGGAATCGGCCGGTGTGATAATAAAAAAAAAATAAAAAAAAAAAAAAATAAATTCTAAAATAACAATCATTTTTTTTTTTTCAACAAGTTGGCCGTCTCCCACCGAGGCAGGGTGACCCAAAAAAGAAAGAAAATCCCCAAAAAGAAAATGCTTTCATCATCATTCAACACTTTCACCACACTCACACATAATCACTGTTTTTGCAGAGGTGCTCAGAATACAACAGTTTAGAAGCATATACGTATAAAGATACACAACATATCCCTCCAAACTGCCAATATCCCAAACCCCTCCTTTAAAGTGCAGGCATTGTACTTCCCATTTCCAGGACTCAAGTCTGACTATATGAAAATAACTGGTTTCCCTGAATCCCTTCACTAAATATTACCCTGCTCACACTCCAACAGATAGTCAGGTCCCAAGTACCATTCGTCTCCATTCACTCCTATCTAACACGCTCACGCACGCTTGCTGGAAGTCCAAGCAAAATTAACAGCTGAGGTACTTTATATAATAATTTTTATTAAAATTCTTACCTGAGGGATAGTAACTCAAGCGACCAACTGCCACTGGGAGTGACATTAAGGGTGTACTTAAGAATGAGAAGATAGGGAAGTGGTCACTGTCATGGTAATCATTTGTCACTGTCCACTAAAAGCCCAGTGCTACAGGAACTGAGCAAATCCAGAGGTCACTACACTAAGGAGTATGAGTTCGAGGGTCTAGATGGGTTGAAACCCTAGTAT